CCAGGGAAGTGGTTGAGTCACCATCCCTGGAGGTATTTAAAAGACATGTAGATGAGGTGCTTAGGGACATGGTTTAGTGGGCCTGGTGGTGTTGGGTTGACGGTTGGACTCGATGATCTTAGAGGTCTCTTCCAACCTTAATGATTCTATGATTCTATTTTAAAGCTTGCACAGGTGAAGTTTAACCTGAAGCTTTGTATTGGAAATGGTCTAACATCTGTTCCATCAAAGGCAATGGTGCAAGAGTGTAAGAATTAGGAAGGGTTGGCTTTGTGTATTTGACTTCATGTCTCCCTGTGCCACAGGGGCTGCATGAAGAATATCTTTGCTAAGAACACCTTGTCAGCCAAAGGACAGAAGTGAACCATCACTGTTGGTTTTTACTCTGTATGTCAGGAATCTTTCCAACCATCAGTTTTAAGATTCTGAGCCCAAATGATGTTGTGGGGCAGATAAAATTGGACTGTGGTAGCCCATTTCCATCCTTTCTGAAGCTTGTCCACAGGAGAGATGAGGACTGTAGCAAAGCCAGCATCGCTGTGCCAGGAGAGTCCTCTAGTGGCGATGCAGCTAAGGTTTTTTTTCCCACTGCAAAATTGTTTTCTAAACTTCTGAAGGGACAAGAAATGGAAACAAAAGCTTTTGTCTGGTGCTGGTGCTGCTTTATCAACCTCTGCCATTTGCTAGCATAGCAAGTAGGTAGGATTTTTTGGTTGGTTTTTTTTTTCACCATGCTGGGTAACACAGTTATGCTTCAAAAAAACATTACACTGGATCTAGTCTTCAGTCAGGAACTGTACTCTCCTTAGAAAATTAAGGTGTCTACTACTTGAGCTCCTTTAGCTCAGAGCCTTTATCTCCATGAGCCTAGTCCCTTCTTCAGGTCAAGTGTGAGACAGCAGCAGCATACCTAATGATAAAAACAGAGCCCTAGCAGTCCTGCAGTGCTTCTGTTTGGTGCTGGTGAGAGGATGGAGTGGCAGCAACTGGGCAGCTGCACAAGCTTCAAAGTCAGTAGCATGCCCCTGATGCTCAGCCCTGCCTTGTCTCATCCATCACATGTGGATAGGACAGCCTTCCTGCTCTGCCTGCTGTGCCCATGAGGGAGGACCTCTGTAAGAGTGAGAAGGCTGGACCCAGAATGTTTGGGACGTGAGACCGTCTGATGGAAGGACAAGTGCCTGAACCACCTCTTCTCCGCTAATGAAGCTGTTACCCTCAGTGGTGTTGCTCCTAGATTCCCAGGAAATGGCAAAGTTGCAAGCTGCTTTTTACCTTGCAAGGAAGGTGTGTCACCTGATATGTGAGTTTCCTCTCTGCCTGTAGAGGTTTCGGTGAGGCTACAACAAACCACACTAGTTCTAAGACCATACTTCAGCCCTCACTGAAATTAAATGGGGCATCCACCTAGACTATATGCAAAAGCTAACAGCAAAGCTCATCCCAGGTCTTCTTACATCTGCAAGTTTCTAGAAATTACAGCGATTAATCCTACACATCCTTTCTCTCTTTTAAGTGTCCTGCTATCCTAGCTGGCTAGTGATGCATTTTTCAGTGTCCAGGTACAGTAAATAAAGAATACTCTTAAGTTGAATATTTTGTCTTAAATGCAGCATGATGCAGCAGATTGGCTGACCTTTTAGACATTGAGAATAAATCAGCAGTACTCAGTTAATGTGAATTAAATCCAGTAAAGAACCTGTTAACCTTCCCAGTTATTCCTAAAATAGCGTGTGTGGATGGAATTTGAGTGTTTCTCTGGCATAAAAAGATGAGTAAGCCATCTGCCATGTGATCATGGGACTGGGTTCATAAAGCAAATACAATCAAGCTTAGGAGGATACCTCAAGAAAATCATCAGTGAGTAAAATATGAAGTGGTGCCCCTTCCACTAACTTCTGGCTGCTTTCCATCCCAGTCCATTTTCATTGGCTGGTAAGAATTTCCCACCTGAACATAATTCATAGAATCATTAAGGTTGGAAGAGACCTCTAAGATCATCGAGTCCAACCGTCAACCCAACACCACC